ACTCCCTGCCGCTCCACAGTGTGGCCCATCGCTCCTGCCAGCACCGCTCTCCTTTCGGATGGGTACCACGGCGAGGACAGGTATCGCCCCACCCAGCCGGACACCAAGTATCCTGTGGAGTTTCAGTAACTGCCGTGATCTCCTACAGCAATTTTCTGCTAAAGCTGTATTTACTTTCACCAATTTAAATTTGGTCGGGTGTTTCCTTTCGTTTCCTCTATTGGCCCATCGCTCCTGCCAGCACCGCTCTCCTTTCGGATGGGTACCACGGCGAGGACAGGTATCGCCCCACCCAGCCGGACACCAAGTATCCTGTGGAGTTTCAGTAACTGCCGTGATCTCCTACAGCAATTTTCTGCTAAAGCTGTATTTACTTTCACCAATTTAAATTTGGTCGGGTGTTTCCTTTCGTTTCCTCTATTGTAAGAGACCGCAAACATAAGAAATACCTTCTCTGCTCTCTCTCAGGCTCCCTCCCTCTGGAATAAATATATTCCATAACGTTTGTTCCACGATTTGTTTTCCTCAGGTATCTCCGTATTCATCTCTTCTCTAGACTAAGTAGGACTAATCTGCTTATTCTCTTGTCTCCTCTGACCTCATTTCTAATAATTTGTGTGGTTGCTCTGCTCCGTTCCCCTGCTCTTCCCCCGCTGCCTGAGAACGAGGAAAGCGCGCTGCCTGCTCGCCTCAGCCCGATAAACAAACCCCAACGATCTCACGCAGCTATTAGCATTCAGCTAGTCATCAGACTCCGAAAAACACCTTCCACACTCCGCGGTCGGTAAAGAGGGATGAACATTCACTTACTGCATTTCCAGCTTCGGCAGCCAGCCGGGCGGCGTATCTGGCGATCAGCCTGTGCTCCTCGTCCAGCCTGCCGGGGCTGTCCAGGACACTGCCGGGGAAAAGCCAAAACACCCTGTCAGTATCTGCCGCCTCTAGATATTACTCATACCCGGGGGATGACGGAGAAAAGGATGCATTATTGCATAGAGACAGCGATGGGAAACAGAAGAGTCACACTGGAAATAATCTAGACCATTTTCACTCTGCTTCCAAAGCGGGGACTGCTCTCAAGGCTTCCTGCCTAGTAGCATTTTTCTCCAGGATTCACATATTCCAGTTTTAAATGATTAAAATAACTTGTTTGCAACAATTCATAAAGAGGCATCAATGAGGAACAAACTCAACTTGTTTCTGAGGAGGTTTCCTGCAAACCTTTCTGGTTCACTCGAGGTAAAAAAAGGGGCAAATGGCTGAATGACGAAGGAGAAAAGCTTTGTCCTCAGGAGATGTGGGATGACAAGCGTCAAAGGCAGGATGAATTCCAGGAGGAGAAGTGGGGGGAACCATGCTGACCTGAGCAGAATGGACTCTGTCACTGAACAACAGCAACTTAAATGCAAATAGTACTTTGTGCAAGTCAGCCTGACTCACACCTGACTTCCTACTGCCTTACAACACCCAAACGTGCAAAATGTGGTACTGTGACACTCGGTCCTTCACACCTCAGCCAGCAGCGGATGAAACAGCTCCAGCTGCCTCGTGTTGCCTCACGTGGACAGGCTGCGGCTGGCTTGGAAATGGTGCCGAAAGAGGGATTAAAAAATATTTCCGATAATCATCAGCCACAGCGACAGCACCAGGAGGTGACAGAGGAGAGGAGAAAAGGACACTGCAGTTTGGAACAAGAAGAGGCAGCAAATGGGAGAGATCCCCAGGGTTAGGCAGTGAAAGGCAGCACCTGGATCCTTCCCACTTTTAACAGCAGCATCGTCCCCTCTGCGCGTATTCATCACTAAACGTGACTAATCTAGCCTGGTAACCCAGTTAGGGCCTAGAGTGCTGAATCTACTACTATAGTATCTACTATTATGGGGTCTACTACTATAGGATCCACTACTACAGCATCTACTACTACAGTATCTACTATTCACTAGTAACTGTCTTTTTAACTACAAACAAAAAGAGGTGCAAACGATAATTTCCAGGTGGTATTAACGGAATGAAACCAGTCAGTGTCACGACCTATTCCCAGCTCAGTTTTGGTGGCACAGTGGCCTTGCCACAACGGCTCAGCACGGGAAAGCCGACCGAAAGAGCCACTTTTGAGGTCAACACCCAACCCAACTGTTCCGCGGTTGGGCATTGCCTTGCTGCTGCCCGGAGCTCTCCCTTTCCGAGCGAAGCCGCTGCCACAGCCGAAGAACCCAAACCGTTATTAACTGAAAACAACCAGGAGTAACGCGGGAACGAGCAGTGTGCCTCGCGCTGCACCGCAGCCTTCCGCACGCCGTCCCCACGTCCCGCGTGGGAGTCCCGAACCCCACCACCAGCGCTGCCCCTGCACGTGCTCAGGGCGACGATCAGGGTCAGGCTCAGGCCACAGGCAGCAGCGAAGGAACAGGGACACGCAGCCAGTGCACGGCAAAAGGTACTTTCGGTCCACGTGACCCCTTCACAAGACAAATGACATTTCTTTAATTTTGCGGATTTGCGGTTACATTACTTAAACCCACAAATCTCTATTGCATCCATTATGGTGATTTTAAAATGTAGATTTTTTTGTAACGCCGAATTTAACACCTTGATCTCTTTCAAGACTCCGAAAGTGCCAGATGCCGCGTTGGAGACGGCAGAGAAACACTGCACTGAATTCAACAGACGTACGACTACAGTTTACAGAGATGGGTCTACGATGAGTGCGAATTGCACCGTTATGCCTCTGCGCTTGGCCTGCCAGGTTAAGACCTGAGGATATTCAACTAAACAGCGCAAAGGAAGTTGCTGGCAAAAGGTGAGCTAAAACAGCGAGAAAAAAGATTTAAGAGAAGAAAACCCAGAGTCTTTACACTGGGCTTGATGAACTTCTCGCACGCCTTCGTGCTAATTCATTTTCTGATTTTTTTTTTGTTGTTGTTGAAGGAGAACAACCTTTCTCATCCTGCTTTCTGAATTTGATATTGGCTTGGTTTATCTTTCCTCTGCAATTTTGTCAGCACAAGGTTTTTTCTGCTTTTATAGGAATGCAGATCATTCCACCCCTTCCACCCTTTCCAGAATCCGGTATCTCCTAATACCTCTCCCAGCTCCTGGAACCATTACCTCTTCCTACCTAAGTCAATTAGAAAATAGTTCCATTTCTCACTTTCTTGAAGAAAAACTGTAATTTAAATAAAACCCCCCAAAACCTTTTTGCATTTGCTTTTAGAAATACTTTCAGATGGAGGAAGCGGTTCAAGTCCATCTCCTGGCCCTCCTGAATACTCTCGATTCTAAAACAGTTTGAACAAATGAACCACTACTGCAACCCTCAGCGCCGTCGGCTTGGCACAGAGGGCATTAAACACAACCTACAAAACCCCATGGAATTCTTCACGAAGGAAAACTCACTCCTTTGTAGTTGCCATTTCTGTGCAGACATTGCAAAGGGCTCCTACCCTGAACACCCTTCCGTGTCGGCAGCCCTGCGGAGCTCCCTGTCCCCCCCACCTAAAGGTGTCCTGTCGGTACCCAGGGCTGCCTGTGCCAAAAGGTCCCGGAGCGAAAACCCACGCACAAAGCAGAGGACGGCAGCTCGAGGAGAGCAGGAAAGGCAGCAAAGGGGAAGACTAAGCCCGGCTTAAGCCCAGCGCTCAGCAGCGAGGAGGGTGCGTGAGTGAGCGTCCAGAGATATCCACAGCAGCAGCCTTTTGGAAAGGTAATAGTATAGATTCCCCTATCTTAAAAATACCGTGCCGGGTGGTTTGGTTCTATTTTGACAACGTTGTGCTACTTACACCGCACTGATGAGTCAATCCGTGAGCTCTCCCACCCCTTTGAAGACGCTGGGGCGTGGGTAACCCCGCGGGAAAGGTCTGACTAGGGGAGGCTTTGACATCCACCAGGCAGCGTCACCCTCGGGACAGCCTGGCTCTGCCGCAGGGGCATGGAGACAACGGAACCGCCTGGAGCCGCAGAGCACGAGCACCCCGAGGGGAGACAGGGAGGGCGAAGTGACGCTGGTTTTTAGGTGCCGATGGAAACGTTTGAGAACACGTGACAAACGCACACAGCGTTGCTCCTGCAGCCGCTTTGCTCTGCCCCAAGCGCGCGCAGGCACCGAGAGGGATATTCGCCACCTCCACGGGGCAAGGCGCCGTGCCAGCGAAGGAAATTAAATTGGCTTCAGACTGGCCTCTTCCAAAACAATCACTCGTTTTCTGCCAGGGCAGTTCCCTGAGCCAGCGCAGCCGGTTCTGCCCGAACGCGGGAGCGAGCACAAAGGCGAGAGCAGGTGCGCCGGCAGGGGGAGGAAGGGGAAAAATCAGCTCTTCTGCTGGCTCGAGGCTTCCGCGGAACCACGTCCAGAAAAACGGGGGCACATGCGGTCTGTAAAGAGAAAGCTGCCCCGCCAGCGCCCTGCTGTCAAACGCTGCCACAACGGTGAGCTTGGACAACCAAAGCATTGGCGAGGGACGGGTGACCAGTAAAGGATGGAAGAGAAGATGATACATCGTGGGGGGAGGTTTGTGATCTTCGTCCTCTTCCAAAGCTGCTTAGGAATTCATGATGCTGCGGAGTGGCAGAGGACAGCAAAGGAAGGCATGGCTTATTCTTCTGCACTGACCTGAAGGGCCACACATCCCAGGTGTCGGCTGATGTGAGCCAAGGGTAAGGACTTGGGGACAGAATATCTTTAAGAAAAGTGACTTTTTCCCTGTCCTTCTCCTTTAAAACCAGGAGTGCTGCAGGCAGTTGCAGTTTCAGAGAGTCAGGAAGTTAAAGGAAGCTGAACCAGACCAGCCAAGCAGCTAACCACCCATCCCTCCACCTCGATCAACCGACCAAAGGTAAAACACACAAACCCTGTGGCCAGCTGTCTTCTGCAGGAGAGGCAGAATTCATAATACATCAAAATAATGACATTCCGGGTAGGGCTACTTAGTTCTTCTGGTGCAAAGTGGAGCTGAAACAGAGGCTTCACGGGGAGCAGGGAAAGGCAGGCTTGCTGCATGATGTGGAATGTAAGTTAGGAATGCTCAGTTTAAGAAATAGGTAACAAACACCTGCCCAAGGAATGAAGCACAGCCCATCAGCTCCGCCAGCTTTACAACTCGCTGCACTCTGCAGCTGTCTCTGCCTGCAGCACGTCCTTTAGGGTGGGGATTTTCTGTTAGTTCTTCAAAAAGCACCTAACCGACTTGGCTTGCCACCACAATAGGACAGTAGGTAAACCAAAAGAAAAATACATTATTGTGAGATAAGTGAAGTCCACTGAGCTCTGTTTGCTACATTCCTCACGCAGCTTGGATGGACTTTTTGGTTGGAGGACATCAGTGAATTAAATGATTTTTAATATGTGATGAAAAATCTCAGGGACCCAGCTAGCCATGGTTTAAAGGCTCTCAAAGTTTGGCTGAAAGACACGAAGAGAGGCTGGGCGATAAAGAGCGAAGGTAAGTATGCACAAACTCAGTGACTGGAAGAAAGATAAGTTCAAATTTGAAGTAGGGCCCTTTGTTAAAGCAGTCAGCACAATTAATCACTGGGGCAGACTGTCAATGAAACGAGCGGCTTCTCCATCACGGTGATCTCTGGAAGCTACAGCTTTAGCGAGACAAGGGATTAGGTTCAGCACAGGGATGAACAGGGGTGACGGTTTTAAACTAGAAGAGGGTGGCTCCAGGCTAGATACCAGGAGGACATTTTTTGCACTGAGGGTGCTGAGGCACTGGCACAGGCTGCCCAGAGAGGTGGTCGATGCCCCGTCCCTGGAACATTCAAGGCCAGGTTGGACGGGGCTC